ATATATATATATATATATATATATATATATATATATATATATATATACTAACAACTTTTTAACGTACCTTCGTACTTATTTATTTGTACGTATATATAAAATTATTCGTGAAACCCGTGTATACTTGCAGAACAATCCAGATGTATCGGAAGATGTTAGTAAAGCCTCTAAACCAAGATCATTTATCGAACAATACTTTGGAGGTATATTTGATTATGAATTGAAGTGTACTGAATCCGAGGATGAACCAGCCACTATTGGAAAAGAAGAATTCTTACAATTGAGTTGTTTTATTTCAACTGATGTTAAGCATATGTATTTTGGACTTAGGAATAAGATGCAGGAGCAAATTACAAAAATGTCTCCGACGCTTGGAAGAAATGCTACTTATACAAAAACCGTATATATATTTTTTAATTATATATATAATTTTATACATAATATATATTATACATGTGTATCGTGCGCTCTCTTTTTCAGTCAAAAATTAGCAGGCTACCAGCATATTTAACCATACAATTTGTACGGTTTTATTACAAAGAGAAAGAAGCGATTAACGCAAAAATCTTGAAAGACGTTAAATTTCCCTTGGAATTTGATGCTTTTGAGTTATGTAGTTCCGAACTTCAAAACAAACTTGTACCGATGCGTGAGAAGTTCAAAGAATACGAAGATACTCTGGTAGAGGAATCTTGTAACGCAAAAACTAAGGATAAAGGAGATGGCGCAAAAACAGAAATGAGAAAAGAACCATTCTGGTTTAAGGATGGTAAGAGAATAAAAAAACCGCGTCGATACGTATCCATGTTCCAAAATTTCACGATGTACTGAACTTGTCGTGTTACGCATGTTATAGATTTGGGATCAAATAATAGTGGCTATTATAAATTACAAGCGGTTCTAACGCATCGAGGACGTTCCAGCAGCAGTGGTCATTATGTCGGTTGGATTCGACAGAAGGGTGATACGTGGATGAAGTGCGACGATGATGTTGTCACGGCCGTTACCAGCGAAGAAGTTTTAAAACTCAGCGGAGGCGGTGATTGGCATTGCGCATACGTTCTTTTGTATGGCCCTAGAATTTTGGAAGTGGAAGTGAAGGATACAAAAGACGATCCAGTTAATACAAACAGTACTAAAGCTTAACTGATAAACACGTGCTTTAAATTATGCTAGACAAGAACGTGCTTGGGTTGCTAGCTCTATACAAATACTTGTTTGTTCTTGTACCACGTAATATAACAGCGTAAACATTAAAAAACATTATTATTATCATCACGTGCTACAATATATATATAGTATTTGGAATAATAATTTCGTCATATATGGAAATCAACTTTTATTACCTACAGTAATTTTTTTGCTTGAATATGAGATAAAGGCTGCGGTCCACTTGACGCTACAAATTCTTTGGAGCGTTTTTCTTCTCCTTTCTTCATTGAAAGAAAAGAGGAATGCTTCGAAGCATTTGTAGCGTCAAGTGGACCGCAGCCAAAGACGAATAAATTGGTCGTAGGTTAATCGCCAATTTCCACTGTTCATAAAGTACATAATAGGTGTCGATATGTCAGCAGAAATACGCACGTAAAATATATATAACTGCATACACATGATTCGAATACACAGACAATAAGAAATAAAGAGTTGTAATTTATTGTCCGTTTATATATTAATGCTAATGTATAAAATTTTCTTTTTTTTTTTTACATTTGAGATGTAAATGAAAGACCGTACTACGCTATAAAAGCTGTACATTTTAATGAGAAGTATAGGATAAAATGCTCTTTTATAATTGCATGGCGAATTGAGACATTATTTTCAATGCCGAATAGTTTTTTAATTGTCCCCGCCGCCCCGGGAACCGGCTATTTGATAAGAACTTCCGGAATCTCTAATGTTTCGGCTCGCCGCTCGACTTATGCGCCGTGCGCATGTGTGAGATTTACTCGTCATTTTTAGGTTAGGATAGGTGGCGAATTTTCATCAACCGTTTTCATTAAAGTTATATTAAATTGAATCAAGTGTTTATATGTATATATGTACTTGTATATAAGTATAATGATGAAATTTTCTTATTAATTTTCCTTATCGTGCATACCAGCAGTTTATTATGTATTAATTATTGTATTGTAATATATGCATTGTTTACTCGTATAACGATGGAGAAGGAGAGGTGCGTAGAATGTTAACAAATTTTTAATAGATAAACCTTGAAAAAAATGCTCAAACCATTTGATTAAAATGTTGTACTTTTTGTATGGGAAAAATGTATCGAGGGTAAAAATTGTAGAATTTTATCCAATTAAATATTTTTATCGTTTGACGTTATTTTTTAGGTTAAAGTTTCCGTGAGTTAATAACGTGAACATGACGTGGAAATTATTTCAACTCTATGTAAATGTGTATATAAATATATGTAGTTTGATAAATATTTAGGATACTGGGATCTTGTATACATGTCTCAGATTTCTTAGCCTTAAAACATTATTTATATTACGTAAAAATATACTTGGTTCCTTCTTCTTTTATGATATCGAGTGACTATTATTTTATTTTTTTTTGAACCTTGTTTTTCGAACAAAAGAGAGAAATCTATCAAATATATATTTTGATGAAAATGTGTAAGAAAACACTCTTTACGTTCCAAGTATTTATTTACAGATTTACAATGCTTCTTTTGGAACCGGGAGAAATATTTTTTGAAGATTACAGCGTTCGGATGAGAAGGCTAGAGACTCCATTTTCCAAAGATGAAAAGTGGATGGATGGGAGATTAAAATTATGTTCCAAATCTTTAGTATTTGTAAATAAAGATATTAACCAGCCATTAAACAAGATTCAACTCAAAGAAACTATATCGATTGAGCAATGTACATTGAACGACGATATAGCGAGGTAGGTATATTTTTTGGACAGGATTAGAAATGCAGCAGGGAAGAAACATGCACAAAATAGAGGGAATAAAAACAATCAACTTTTTAATTTTTTTATATTTTGATATTATTACACGTGTTTATTTGTTTGTGCATTTGACGTTGTTGCAGTAATATGCTGTCAATAGAGTGTAAACAACATGTGGAAATGTTGGAGAAAAATATATTAGCGCCATACAGATTTATACATCAGACTACTATATTCCACTTCTGCTTCAATTATGCGAAAGTAGAAGATTGCCTTTCGCAGATCTTGCAATTGCATAGGGCAGCGAGTTTAGTAACTGTAGAACAAAATGCTATGGTAATATTCTTTTATTCATTAGGTATTTCCAGAGAATTATAGCAAACATTAACGTCATTTTAATGAGATGTTCCTAATTTTTTTAAGATTATGGCTATTGTACACTCTAGACAGTCACGTGTATCTTTTGATACATCATGGCTTGAGGATCTATATGAACAAGCGGTCTTGGAGACACAGGCAACGAAAGTATTGCCGCTTGTAATAAATCCAGGCAGGGTATTATTGACCAACTCGAGAATCTACTTTCAACCTTATAATAATATGGATCAGGTACGTTATATTTATACGTTCATATCGTGGCATGAGCAGAATTTTTTATTCTTTTTTTGTACGGTATAAAGAGAGAAAGTGTGGATGTGCGTTAATTATAGCACTCGTTGATTTTTAGCATCCTGTCCTTAAGATCCAACTGAAAGATATACGGAATATTATAAAAAGGAGATTTTTGTTGCGACAAGTGGTAAATACTTCATAATCTAATCTTCTACCACAACATGATCCATTTTGATAAAATTCCATTTATTAAGAGAAGCTGCATCACGCGATTCATTTGCAGGGTCTTGAAATTAAATGGATGCGACAAACTGATGGCAAGATTGAACATTTATTTTTATCGTTTCAAAATCAAGATGGCAGAGACAAGCTATATGAAAATTTACTTTTACAATCGACGGTTTCTCTCGAGACTGTGCCACAAAATCAAATGACAATGAGATGGCAAAATGGATATTTATCGAATTATGATTACATTTTATATGTAAATAGGTACGTATTACAAGGCTTTAAAATTACGTGTTATTGAAAAAAAATGTGAAGGAATATATTTAAATTATTTATCATCGTGTATGTTTTAGTTTGGCAGATAGAACTTTTCATGATTTAACACAATATCCAGTGTTGCCTTGGATTATACAAGACTATACTTCTGCGACGTTAGATTTGAATGATATTAATGTTTATAGAGATCTTTCGAAACCTATTGGCGCATTAAATCCTACTCGTCTAGAAAGATTAAAAGTATGTATATTAGATTCCAATTATATATTCATAACATATGATAGACATGATACTTGTATGACGTACACGCATATGGAACGTTTTAAATCATCTTTATGCTAGATCCTTAACGCTCAAGTATTTCTTAAATTAAGATAAACTGAGTTAAAGTAAATCTATACGTCTACAAATACCGACATCTTAATATTTAGCACACGTTTCCATGCCATTATTTTGTGCTATAGTTCTGGATTATTTTATTATAGAAACCGGTTTAAAAAAACCTAATCTTTTTCATACATCTGTATGTTGTAGGAACGATATTCGGAAATGTCTGATCCAAAGTTTTTATATGGTTCTCATTATAGTGCACCAGGTTTTGTACTGTTTTACTTGGTACGAAAATACCCTCAGTATATGCTCTGCCTTCAAAACGGAAGATTTGATCATCCAGATAGAATGTTCAACAGGTATGTATATACTTACTTTTTTTCCATTTAACTCTTCGATATTTATTTGCTTTTAGATATTAACAAATTGTAATAACAATGCATATTTATGCATATATGAAGGGAAAAAAATTATCCTAGAGAAACTGTAAATTCGCGGAAAATTACGTACACATTTATCTCATAAGAAAAGGCAGAATAGTAATAATAAATGCTTCAAATATTGCAAAAGTACATAATTACTCTGTCAAATGTGCAGAAACGATTTTATGTTTCACTTTTACCAACAAAAACACCTAACAGTATAGCCGACGTGTGGAAAAATGTTTTGGTGAACATGTCTGACTTTAAAGAACTGATACCGGAGTTTTATGACACGAGCACTGGTGGTGACTTTCTAGTGAATACGTATGGCATCGACTTTGGCTATCGGCACGACGGTACGAAAATAGGCGATGTACAGCTACCTCCTTGGGCAAAAGGTACGGAGAGATGTTTGTAATTTTAATTTCAATTATTATATTAGACTTGCTTATGTTAACGAACAATCGTTCGTGGTCATATTTATCAAGTTAGATAAAACTTGATATTTCATTAGGAAATACTTTATTCGCTATTAGTATTCTTGTAGTATTCCTCGTGGCAAAAACTCTAAAAGTCTCTTATTATTCCAACGTATTCATGTGATTAATTATACATGTATAATGCTACAAATATATTTAGTATCTAGGATAAAAAGTTTTAATCATGTTGTAAAAATTAATATTACGTGTTATATACTTTAGGACCAGCCGATTTTGTACAACAATTAAGAAATGCCTTAGAAAGCGATTACGTTTCTCAAAATCTTCATCATTGGATTGACTTAATTTTTGGATATAAACAAAGAGGAGTTGAAGCTGACAAGGCTGACAACGGTAAGAATACAGTATAGTACAAATAAAATTAATATATTAACTTAAAACATCATTAAAACATACATAGTACAGCGTGATTTGTTTCTAAAGTATCTATAATATGCAGAATAATAAATTTCTTTCGCCAGTATATAGAATAACAATTAAAGTAATTTAACTCGACCTGACTGGCAATATATATAACGTCTTTCCGATATGAACATTGAAAAAAAAAAATATATATATATATATATTGCCAGTCAGGTCGATTTAACGTGCTTTACATGTTAGCTATAATATCGTTCTGTTTTCTTATTGCAGTATTCTTCCATTTGTGTTACGAAGGAGCAGTAGATTTAGATACTATACGAGATATAAATGACAGACATGGGCTCGAGGTGCAAATTATGGAGTTTGGTCAGATACCAAAACAAGTCTTTGCTCTACCTCATCCCAAACGTTTGACGTCAGCTCCAACGTTATTATACAGCGAAACATTATTGAATACCTTGCCAGAATCATCAACTTTAGGTATTGTGTCTTTCATACTTCTTTTCCCCGGTGTAATATAACTTATTAAATACTATTTTTAATTGTTATTGGTATTATTTTAATTTTCTAGGCAACGCATGTGTAAAGGAAAAATCATTTTATTTTACCAAACTAATAGTGTTTCAAGCACACAAAGACGGCGTCACCAGTATTGTACGAAAAAATACAACGAGTAATGAAATTATATCAGTGGGGCAAGACGGAACGCTTAAATTGTTCAACATAAGTGAGAAGAAACTGACACGTAGCGTTACCTTGTCTCCATTGTCACTGTCATCTTGTATCTCGTATTATACGCTATCGCAACGTAACATTCTTGTAGCAGGTTCATGGGACAATACCATGTAAATATGACAGTGATTAGATTTTCTATAAAATTACACGAAGGATGAGTTTTATATATATATAGATATGGATTGTTTATACACATTTTCGTGAATTTCAAATAGAATAGGCAATATGTGAATTTTATGATACATATTTAAAATTATGCGCATATCTTCTATATCTTATGCGAAATACGTCCATATAGTCTTGCAAACCTTAAACTGTATTTTTTTTTAGGATATTTTATGACATCGAATTTGGCAGAGTAATTGATGTCCTGCAAGGACACGAAGATGCAGTGTCGTGTCTAGTGTGGAGTTGTACTCATCGAGTGATTATATCTGGATCGTGGGATTGCACTGCAAAAGTTTGGCATGAATACACTTCTGGGTCAAAAATTAAACCAGCGGAGTGTTTCATCGCGCAATTAGATCATGACTCTAAAGTAACTTGTATTAATATATCGAGGTAAGATATCGCTTTTATATATGTTATTGTAGTGCACGAAATACTTGAAGAATAAGAACCATACTTTTCAAATAACAACGTAACTTCTGCTAATAATAATAATAATATATATATATATATATATATATATATATATATATATATATATATATATATATATTTTTTTGT